TGAGACCCGGGCTCTGTGACTTGGGCCACACTGAGTTGCTGTGGCTTACCCTACTCCCTCTCCAGACAGCCCTGCATCCCTCTGAAGGCTGTGTCCTGCTGTGTGCCCACTGTCCCTGAAGGCTGGTATTCGACATTCCCCAGAGGGTGTGTCTGTGCCCTGTGTCCTGCAGCTGAGCTGCTGTGTGCCTGGTACAGAGGCCGAGAGCGGCTGGCCCGCCTTGAGAGTTGCTGGGAAATATATCCACTCAGACTTCTGAGGACTCTGACTGTCATCGCTGTGTCCCCCCCAGACTTGCCCTCTTGCTAACTTGGGCCCAGCTTTTGTCCCAGGAGCCCCATGCTGCTCCTTAGCCAATACTGTCCCCTAGGATGGGGCTAGGAGTGGCTGCACCTTTTGGGTATTATGTGCTGTATACTTAGCCCAACACCTTGGGGACTCAGAGAGGTAGATGTCCATGCACAGGGGCAGAAGGGATAGGGGCTCTGTGTGTAGGCCAGCAGCCCCTCCTAATCATGATGGAGGCCCCAGCTGCCCATGTTTGTTCTGTTGTGCTTGGAACAGAGAAAGTGCAAGCTTTGCTTTAGAGGGTAGAGGACCTGCCACCTTGTCCTGCTGAGATCACTGGTAGATTGGCTGTCATTTGCCCTTTGAAGTGGCTCCTAAGCCCCGGGGTGGGGGGGAACAGATACCTCATGCACTGGCCCACTGTTTGATGCCTGCTCAGCCTCTGTGTGGTCTAGAGTGAGCCTGATCCCCTGCCCCACTCCTCAGCCTTGGCATCTAGCGCCAACTTCGAGGGAATGTGATCTGTGGCCTCTCACACAGGCATGTGCCTAGAGTGTTCTGCTAGGCTACTGCAAAGGGACTGGGACCTGCTGAGCCTAGAGACACTGCCCTGTGTCTGGGGTCCTAGAGAATCCTGAACAGAACTTCCAGGGCATGGTGTTCAAAGCTAAGTCTGGGGTAGTGAGGGGGGATCCTGGGACCATGAGGGCTCCAGGGGCTACCAGTCTCTTTAGAAGTGGGCACCAGCAGCTCACAAAGACCTGGTGTTTAGTATCCCGCTGTGGTGGGTGGCATATGAATCCATGGCCGGCTGCTGCTGGGACGGGCCCTGTTGGCTGCCTTCTTTTGAAGTCTCTATTGTAGAGCCCTTAGTTCATTGCACTACTGTGACGCAGTCTGGTTTGTGTTCAGAATGTCACAATAAATACATGTTCCTCTCCTGCCCCTAGCTTGTACTGTGACACTGTGGTGTCTGCCTTTAATGGTGATGAATGCAGCCAGAGACCCTGTGGAAGCTTCTGGTAGGAGCTGGAACAATTGAAATACCGTGTCTTTCCTGAAACCCACCAACCCCACAGGGGGCCCTGCAGGGATTAGTGACCAGCACACCCCGCATGGCAGCTTCCCAACTCCAGTCCTGTTTATATTTGCTTTCTGGGGGAGAAGAATTAGAGTATGTATTATTTTACAAGCATAGAATCGGGGACTTGGAGTGTAGCTCAGTAGTCAAGCATGTCCCAGTCTTGTGAGCAGATGGTGGCCACTGATGTCCCGTCGTACTGAAGGGTTTAGGAGCGAGAAGAGGAAGCGAGGTTAAAACCTTCCCAAAGCCAGAAGTAATGATGTGCCCGGCATTTGGAAGGCAGAGGGATGAGGGTCAAGAGTTCAAGATCATCCTCAGCTGCATAGTGAGTTGGAGGCTAGCCTGGGCTATAGGACTCCATCTCAAAACAAAAAGTCCACTAAATAAAAAACACCTGTGCGGCCGGGACTATACCTCAGCTGATAGAGTGTCTCTGATATGCAGGAAACCCTGGGGTCAGTCTCCATTACTTAATCCAGGACTGGTGGAACCAGCTTGAAAAGGAAGCTGCAGGATGAGGCAAAAGGGTCATCCTTGGCCACCCGATGTGTTGGAGGTCAGGCTGGACCACATGAGCCCCCAGGCCCTGCCTCTGTTTACATTACAAGTTACTACATGTGTATGGCTTCCTAAGGTGAAATTCTGTTGAGTTATTTCAGGGGCTTGGCAACTGTGGGGAGATGGGCAAGCTAGAAATAGGTCCCAATTTGCCTCCACACACTTCTGTAGTTTTTCTTGAAATAAACACCCAGCTCTTAGACTCTGGTGAGCCTGTATCTAGTTACCAGTCAGTGGCTGTTTACCCAAGCTGAGCAGCAGAGCAAGTTCCTGGGGGCTGGGGAGGTGGGACCAGCTTCTAGCCCTAGGACAGATTCTTTGAGGAAGAGCCTGGGACGGACAGTGCCTCTCTGTGGAATCGGGTGACCATCCCTGCAGAGCATCCTTGGGGACACATGCAGGTCCTAATTGTCTGTGGTTCTGCCCACAGAGTTGCATGGGCTGCATCAGCAAGCTCGTCCTCCCCACCTGTGTTCTGCTTTAGATCCAGGGCAAAGACAACTGTCCTGACTCTGCACTGCCTAATTTTGACCCAGAAGTTAGGAGAATTTTAGCATCGGGCTTCCTCTCTCTTCAGGACCATGCCTGATGAGGAAGGGGGAATTGGTATAGATGTACCATACCTACCTGCAGGGATCCTGAAAAGGAGCAGCTAACCTTGTAGAGTGAGCGTGCCAAGCCCCCTGTGTTCCTCATGTGGAGAGCTGAAGCACTCAGCAGGGCTCACCTGGCCCATAAGAGCCTGCATAGACTGTTAGGTACTATCCTTTTCTGGGACACTGTGTCTAGCAGGACAGACACTGCAAAACTGGAAATATCTTCCTGCCTGCCCAGTCCTAAGGACAAAAGCACACATGAGCATTTTGTTTATATTATCTTCCTGTAGCCCTGAGATGTTCTCAGTTGATGTCACTAAAAACCAACTGGACAGAGACAGTCAGGGCCTAATGGGTACCTGATGTGACTGGCGACACAGAGGGTCTACTGGGTGCTGCTGTTGGCGACCTTCCCATGTTTGAACACCAGAGGGAAGGACTACAGGGACAAAGGAAGTGAGGACTCTTTTTGAGTGATGGGCAGAGTCAGAAGACATGGACCCCTCTAAGCTTAGTTTACCTTAATTGTTTTTTGACACAGGGTTCTGCTATATATCTCAGGCTGGCCTAGAACTCCTGAAAGCCGGGGTTACAGCTGTGCCCCGCCATGCCCAGCTGCTGTAGTCACTGTCCAGCCACCACCTACTTTCTCAGGACACACTGCTCATGTTTGATAGCAGCGATTCGCAAGTTCCTTTCTTTGGAATTCACTTATTTGGGGAGTGTTGAGGTTGGGTCGCAGCTGTACACGTGACGGTCTGAAGAGAACCTTCTAGAGTCGGTCATCACCAGGGATAGAACCCAGGTCCAGGTCACCAGGCACAGCCACAAAGACTTCTACTTTGCTGCCTCCATCCTCTGAGCCATTCTACTGCCCAGTAGCAGCAGTTAAGAGTGTGACTTGGGGTCCATCCTGTGGGTCTCACAAACCTAGAATTTTACTGTAAGCTAGCATGAGGCTCTGGTATTGGGGGATAGTGGGGGGGGGGGAAATGAGAGCTTTCCCTCACCCCCAATCCCCAGCCTCTTAGGCATCCTCTATAGTCACTGCTTAGGGATGCTACTCCAGTTCAGCTTTCTTCCACTAGAGGTCAACATTTCCCTCACCAAGGCACCTGGGGCCTGGGTGTGGCCAGGGCAAACTGGGGTTGCTGAGAAGGAAAGGAACTACAGCCCACCTCCTGGATTGGAGCCGTGTTGCCTGCTTTGTCAGAGTGTCTGAGCCAAGGAGACACCTGGCTTAGATCCACAGATTCCTTTCTGTATGAACAACCAAGTCCTTAAAAGAACATTCTGGAAATGGCTTTCCAAAATTAATCTTTTGCTAGCAACAGTCACCTGGTGCCCTCCAAGACATTGTCCCTGTGGAGAATGGTAATTTATTTATTAGCCCAGACCAGCCTTGAACTGGTCCTGGCCCTCCTATGTCCACCTTCTGAGTAGTACAGGATTTCAAAGCTAGCTGTGGGACCTTGCTCTCCAACGGGCAAGGCAGTGAGTACGAGGCCTGTGCCACCCACCCGTTTTAAGACAGGATCTTACTATGTAGTCCTAGCTGGCCTCAAAATCCGCCATGTAGATTAGGCTGTCCTGGAACTCACAGAGATCCTCCTGTCTCTGCCTTCCCAGTGCTGAAATTAAGGGTATGTGCCAATATTCCAGGCCTGCATGTGGTCCTTTGGAGCCAAAGGGTGCTGACTTGGCTTAAAGATCTAGTCTAGTCACTGGGAAGAGAAGTGGACCATGGCTATGTCCTCCTGCTGCTTAAACTCCCACACACGTTGGCATCCCCGAGGCCAGAGGCCAGCCAGCTGGAGGAGGAGGGCCAAGAAAGGAAATCTTCACTCACTAAGCAGCCACCCCCATTAGCACCCCTCCCGCCACGTGCCTGCCATTCTTGGACACAATGTGTCACTGTGATATGACTTAGAAGTGACATTTATAGATAAATAGTCTCTAGCCTGTCCCTGACTACAATGACTCCTCTTGAGTTTACATAGTGACAGAGAAGACCAGAGGTCAGCCATCACCCCTGGGAGCTTCTGTGACTAGAATCCCTTCCTCCTTCCCTCCTGGTGTGTGTGTGTGCACATACTTTTTTATGGATGTGTTCATCAACTTACATGTATGAGACCAGATCAATACCATTGGGTATTACCTTCTGTCACTATCTTAAGTTATTTGAGGCAGGTCCCACTGTGTAACCTTGGGTGTCCTGGATGGAACTCACTATGTAAACCAGGCTGGCCTTGAACTCACAGAATTCTACCTGCTGCTGCCTCCTGAGAGCTGGGATTAAAGGCACATGCCTCTGACTTTTTGAGCCATCAGTGGGTGGCTGGGAAGTTCCTGCTTTTGTGCCAGCCCCCCTTTAGTGTTGGGGGTGCAGGCACTCACTTGCTGTGCTCAGCTTTTCACCCACTAAGCCATCTCCCTAGGCCCAGTGTCATTTCTTCATATAACAGAGAACCACGTACACTACAAGTTATACTTTATTTAACATTGAAAGGACTAACATTTAATCACACAGGTAAGAGTGCCTTCTACTGAAAGCACTTTGTTTGGTTTTAATTCCACCTCCAGAAACACAGGCAAGTCCAAGACCTGACAGCGGTGAGGATCTTCCCAACAGTGCCATGCCCTCAAGGCGCGCGCGCACACACACACACACACACACACACACACACATTCTCTCTCTCTCACACACACACACATACACATATGCAGACACATTCACGCACACATGATTTAAAAGGTGCTTGATGTCAGGCTAAAAGAGAAGTTGGGGCCATTATTAGACACATTCTGGATGTTACACGTACAGACACAAAATCAAAAAGAAACACAAAATTGCAGTTTCTGGAAAAATACTGGCAGGAACGGAACTTTTTTTTTTTTTTAACTTCGTGTGGACATTCTACTTTCACTACAGGTGCCACCAGAAGGCATACGGCCTCCCTGTGTGTTATTTGGCTTGATCCCACTGAGCATGCTCAGCCTAGGGGGAGGGGCCATTGCAGCTTCACATCCTGCATAGGAAAAAAAAGCGGTAAATGTCAAGTTTCTTTTATTTTCGTCTCTATGTCATTTGCAGGGCAGGTTCTTTTACAGTGAGTCATTCTGGTATCAGCACACTAGCAGCTAGGGGTGACAGGCAGTGGGCCCTGGGGACAGTGAGTGTAGAGCTTCTGGGGAAATCCTGCATTCCCTTCCCCCCACAAGTGTACAATTCCACAGGATTGCCACAGCAGACCATCTATCTCAGAGAACGGCCTGAAGACACTCATCCTCCATCCTTTCTGGATGTAGGTAGTACAGGAAGTTAAAAAAAGAAGTGAAGGGACACAGAGACAGGCACAGGCTTTAACAGTCATCCGAAGAAGGTTGGCAGCATCTCCATTTTACCTTTGTGGCAAGAGCCTTCCTCATCCTTCATGCATTAATGAGGTCTGTGAACAGACCTGTAAAGATCACTCTGGCTCCTCATGGAGGGGACAGAAGCGGCCCAACTTGGTCAAAATCAGAGATGTCTGGTAACCTGCTGGAGCAGAGCTGCCTGGACCACAGGTCAGACTGACTGTCAGAGCCCTGGCAGTCTTCACTCTTAGGTACCAGGCTTCCATTCTGTCCCCTAGGTCTTCCTCATGTTGAGTCCTGAGCAGCTTTGCACGGGCCCCAGAGGGCAGTGTGCCAGACCCTGGGCTTGGTCTTACTTGGGAGGAAGCAGGTCGAAGAAAGCCTGAAAGCTAATCCTTGCTCTTGAAACCCAAAGCCAGGCCCCTGTCAGCTGCTCCCCACTGTGGTACCCTCCCTTCTGCTGTGAGGTTGACAGTGCTTTCTGCAGGGTGGTATGCCAGCCCCACTTTGTGGAGAATGTCTGCATTTCCACAAAGTACAGGCCCAACCCTGAGGGCCCGCCCTCTCTGTCCCTGTCTCTCTGGGTTTTAAGCCTCCCATGTCTTTGATCCTCTTACTTGATGCTAGCTAAGCTACCAACTGCCCAGGAGAAGATGCCAACTTCTTCAAGCTCATGCTTGTGGGGTGCCCTTCACAGGGGCTCGTGGCCAAGTCTTGAGTGCTTCTGTACTGGGAAAGGAGAGAAAGTGTGGCTCTAAGATGCAAGGGACCACCTCGGTTCTCCCGCAAAGCTCTACCATTCTAGCAGGGAAACAGCTTCAAAGCAAGTTCTATCCATCCTCTGGGGCTTCTAGAGAACAGGACCCGATGCAGAAGCAGTGACCAGAGCCATGGGAGGGACCACAAGAGGCACAAGGTCTTTGGTGGGAACACAGGAGAATCCTGAAATGCTACTTATGGAACTTGGCAGGCCTGCCTTACAGTAATGAGCTAGTGTGGATGTGAGGGCCTCCATCACAGGGTACCATGAACAGGCAGACAGCACTCATAGAAAGGAGACACAGACAAGACAGTAGGGCTGGCCCACAAGCTGGATTTGGGACTTCCATACGGACCTTCTTGGGCCATGTAGATGGTTTAGAACCAGAGTGGGGGTGGATGGGGCTGGGTGCCCCAGTCTGACCATCATCCCCTGGGATAGAGTATGGATGATAACAGTGCTGGGTGATGGGGAGGGCCTGAGGCAGCAGCCTCTGGAGAGGACACATTTGATGATGAGTCCCAAGAGACACATGGATGACACGTGGGCACTCAGTCCACCTGATGCACAACTGGCCCTCCTTGTCAGGATTCTGTTAGTCACCAGGAAACCAGCGGCGACAGTTGACAAAGGCACAGTGTGAGATGTGCAAGGAGTGGCCAGGCGATGAGCAGGTGGACTGAGAGCCCAGAAGGAGCAGGACACAGGGTACAAGTCCAGCTGTCCTGGTGGCCTGTGTGGGAAGGGAGCGGAGTGAAGTGGACAACCCCCGTAGGGGGCTGCGGAAGAGAAATACCCGTGCCGTACAGTAGGCAGAGCCACAGGAGCATGCTGTGAAGGAGAAGGGGAGACAGGATATGGGGACCCAGCTTGCAGGTGGGCTGGAGGATGCCCAGCCAGCCGGAGTGGTGCTGGGGGCATGTGGGGACAAGCGGGCTGGATGATGGTGGCTCCTGGGAGGCTCACAGGGACTCTGGCCTTGGGCACCACGCCTTTAGGAACCTATGGCACAAAAAGAAAGAAGAAAAACCCTGAGTTAGAGAAAGCAGCAGGTGAGAGGCAAGCGGTTTGCCAGTGGCAAACCGCTTACCTTGTGGAGAAGGGAGGGGATTGAATAACTGGTTACCACAGCGGCTCTGCCATGGGGAGCTTTCGAGACTTTTATCTTCTGTTGGAGACAGGCTCTCATGTAGTCTAGAGTCACCTCAAATTCTATATAGAGTTGAAGATGAACTTAAGCTCATGATCCCCCTGTTTCTGCCTCCCATACTCTGGCATGACAGGTCTGGCTTTTTATTTCCCATGTTTAGCTGGCCCCATTTCTGGACCAAAAAGATTAATAAGGTTTCCCACTTGCTCATCTTCTTCACAAACTGAACCTTTTTTTTTTTTTTTTTTTTTTGGTCCAGGATGGTGTGAGGAAGTTAAAGGGCAAATCCTCTCTCCCATTGCAACCATAGGTCTCCACAGTAAGATGGACCTTTCGGTGAGAGGGGGACCTGAGGCTGCCCGGGCCTCATTAAATGTGAAAGCTCTCCATCGCCAGAGGCGAGGCAAGATGCAAGAAAGGCAGATGCTCCAAGCCCTCAGGACAGGACGGGTAAGATCGGAGAGACAGAATTATTTGGGAGGGAAATAAAGCATTTGGCTTGAAAAGTCCTCAGTGCTAGAGATGAAAGAGTTACACTTATTACAGAGAATAATGTTCTTGAAAAAGAGAAAAATCACTTAAAATACACAGCACTGAGAAAAATAATAATATTTATTAGAGAGGCAGATACGAGGGTGACAGAGAGATTCTTTTCTCTTAGGATAAGAATAGAAAGACGCGATCATGATGGCTATGTTCAAACGACTTACTCAGAGCCCAGGGATTTACAAGAAAGTCAAGTGCGCAGCAGCCAGCCGGGGACCTAGCTACAGTGCAAGAGTCCAGGGGCCTCCCCAGCAGTTATAAAAACAAAAAGGTGGTTAGGCAGAAGAATAACAAATAAAACAGACAACACTGTGTAAGGCATCCTTCTAGGTTCCAAATTGCAACATATACAAATATACCCTGCAGCGTGGGATCACGGACATGGTCAACACAAGTGATGTCAAAAGCCACCGGACTGCAAAGGGTTGGAGGAGTCTAAAGAGTTTGGCAATGGTTAAGTACATCATGATACCAGAGAGAAAGTGCTCTTGCGTTATTTTTTTTTAAATCTGAGAAGTGCTTTGAGTTTCTGGGAGTCGGGAAGAGCAGCTGAGCCCACTGAGGTTGGAGGCAGGAGGGCAGGGTCTGGAAGAGGCTAGGTGGGCGTGGCTCCTGGGCGGCTGCTAACCTCAGATGTGCTCCTCAGCTAAAAGAAAGCAGCAGGCAGCTTGGCTCTCTCCTTATTTATTTATTTTCTGTTTTGAGACAAGCTCTTACTCTGTAGCCCTGGCTGGCCTGGAATTCACTCTGTAGACCAGGCTGGTCTTGAACTGAAAAAAGATCTACCTTTGTCTGGGTCCCAAGTGCTGGGATTACAAGCAAAGAGCCCCACACCCAACTGTCTAGTTTTTATTTTTTATGTTGATTTGCGTGTGCTTTGTGTGGGTGTGCACATATGCCACGGTGTGTGAAGGTCAGAGGTCAACTTCTGGGACACAGGTGAACTTTTGGGAATTGGTCTTTTAATTCAATCATGTGAGTCCCGGGGACAGGACTCACATTCATCAGGCTTGGGGACAAATGTCTTCACCTACCAGGTCACCTTCCCCCTACCACATCTCCAATCTCCCTTTTTAAACAGCAAACTATTGGAAGAAATTTCCATGTCCACCACTGAGGAGATAGAAACTACAAAGTACCCCTCAGTTTAGTCAATGCTGGGCTCATTCATCCGTTGGGATCCTAGGGTGGTCAACTTAATAGCACTTACTTAAACCAGGACCCATTTACAACTGACCTTCCTGACTCCAACCTGCACAAACCAGAGAGAAACCCCACCGCTTCACCCAGCAGACCGTTTACCAGCTCACCACTGGACCCCTCTTTGAGATATTTTGAGTTTTGTTTTTAAGACAGGGTCTATTTTATGTAGTTTTAGTTGTCCAGGAACTAACTACGGAGACTACCAATCTTGACCACACAGAATTCAGGCCAGCCTCTGTCTACCAGTTGGAGTGGTGCACGCCTTTAATCCCAGCACTCGAGAGGCAGAGGCAGGTGGATCTCTGTGAGTTTGAGTCCAGCCTGGTCTACAGAGTGAGTTCAGGCTGTCTAGTATAGCCAGGGCTGCACAGAGAAACCCTGTCTAGAAAAACCAAAAAGAAGAAGGAGGAGGAGGAGAAGGAGAAGGGGGAAGGAGAGGAGGATGAGAGAGAGGAGGGAGAGGAAGAAGAGGAAGATAAGAGGAGGAGGGAGAGGAAGAAGATAGGAGGAAGAAGAGGAAGATAAGAAAAGGAGGAGGAGGGGGAGGAAGGAGAGGAAGGGGAGGAGGAGGTCACAGCCAAGAAGTGAGTTCTATAGTGGATAAAGGGGGTTACTCTTTCTATTCCCAGTCTTTCTAGCCATCTGGTCACACACCTAGTTTGTCCTTCCTCCTACCCACTCAGCGGGCTCTTCGGGGGTTCAGGGCACCTGCAGGGGGAATTTAATTCAGCTCCTGAAGGAGCCTTACAATGGCTGACTTTAAAACACTGTGACAGCAAAAGTTACTCAAAGGCAAGGTGAACTACAAACTGATGTGTACTGACCAGGGCTGGCGGCTGGGTCAGCTCGGTTCGAGACTGCACCAGACTGTGAGGTGCGGCTGTGGGCTTCAGGAAGGGTACAGGGACCTCTTTGTGCCACTTTTGTAACTGCCAAGAGCAGTTGCTGATACGAAATATTATCTTTATCTTAGCCATCACAAGGCCGAGGCAGGGGAATGGTGAGTTCTACGATAGCTTAGTTATACTGCTTCAAATTAAAAAAAAAAAAAAAAAAAAAAAAAAAGCAAGCACACACCTTTAATCCCAGCACTGAGGAGGCAAAAGCAGGTACATTTCTGAGTTCAAGCCCAGCGGTGGGGGGAGGGTGGAAAGGAAGCTAGATGTGGGTGGATGCTTTCTCATTTTTCTCATTTTGGCACATTTACAGTTGGCTCTGGATGGTCTTGAGGTGGGCTGTCATGATGGGTGCCATTCAGTCCTGGGCATGGCAGCTGTCGCTGCACATGCCTAGTGTCACTCTCTGCCCCAGCATCAGTACTGACTAAAAAATGCAAATTCCCACATGGCCCAGATTCCTTTAAAACACTAAGACCCTTTACTTTATTCTGCCTGTAATTAGGCAGGTCACATGTGCCAGAGAAATCAAATCCTCTGCTAAAGTCTAACTTTGGGTCTTACAGATGTCAAAGATTTAAAAAAAAAAAAAAAAAAAAAAACAAACCAGTCTTCCACTTAAAAAGGAACATGCTGAGTTCATTGCCTGCAATGGCGGACACACAAGGTCTGTCACAGCGAAGCCGCTCCTCTGGCCACAAACAGGAATGGAACCAAGTTAGAAAAATCATGCCACAGGGGTGTTGGGGCACCCAGCTGCTGCACAAGCTTGGCTCAACAGCTTGGAGATTCTCTAGCATCCCCCTGGTCCATCAGATGGAGTCAGATGATGAATGTCAAGTCACAATCAACTGCTCAAGGGGCACGCCTTCCCAGACATCCTCTGGTCGTCTGGGAGACTCAGACAGTAAACAGATAACATAGGGAACCTGAGCTCCAGCTTTCAGGGTACTCGGTACGGGCACCAAGAAAACGTTACCGGCTTTACTCAAGGGCAGGGAGATGTTACCTCCATCGATGAAGGGACTTTTGTTATTTATTTTTACTGGGTCTTACTCTGCAGCCCAGGCTAGGCTGGAACTCACTGGGATGCTCCTAACTCAGCCTACGGAGTGCTGGGATTACAGGCACGAGCCTCTGCCATACAGCTTTTTAAATCTACACATTTTGTTGAATGGAATAGAAACGCCGATCAGATTTCAAACAACACAGTTGTAGGCTGGCTGGTGGCAGTTCTGCACACAGCCAAGTTGGACAAGCGAGCTCAGGCACAAGACGCCCCCAGGTCCCCGAGTGTCTGAGCCTCCTGCTCTCTGCTGACCTGTAACAACCACAGTGATGGGGAGCGACAACTCCAATGCTTTTCAAGGTTTGTGTTTTGTTTTAAGTGATTTAAATATAGGTCTTAGCACCTTTGGCATTTTTGTCTAAATAGACCTCGACGTAGGAAGTGGGGACGTAACCCTCCTCGTCTTCGTTCCGGCGGATGCGAGTCCACCCATCGCCTTTGTCCTCCTCAATCACACTCAGCGTTTCTCCCTCAACTACCGAAATGGTGCCTTCGTTTTGACCTGGAAGAGTAAGGAGAGGCGTGAGGTCTCAGGCAGTGCTGGGAGGGGGAAGAGGGGGGACCCTGGCCATGGCGTACTAGAGACAAGGTGAGATCTGTGCACAGAATGTCCCCTTGGTCCTCCGATGCACGCTGGGTCCTCTGCCCTAAGTGCTTTCCTTCCGCACGAGCATCTCTAGGTTCCTCTTACCATCTGTGGACCCATCCTCAGGTCCTCTGAAGGACACCCCTCTCCCTCCCACTCCCCACTCCTGCCTCATGCGCCTTGAGGAACCTGCTCCTCTAAGTCACTCCCCTCAGGGCTCTCCTGGGCCAGGGGGCAGAGGCAAGGGTCCTTGCTCAGCCCCCACAGACCCTCATCTCTCCTTTTCTGCCATTTCCTGAAATCAAGGTCTACCTTTCCTATTCTCTTTGATGTTGCCTAGGAAACCCGGGGTCACTGAGACACTGGTCTTTCCCCATGGCATCTCTGAGGACTGCAGGATGAGCCATCAGGCTAGCCTCGACTCTCCTCTACCTGTCCTGCTCAGCTCTTTCCACCACAGGATGGCTGGGTCCTCTTTTTCGCCAAGACCCCCCAGATAGTTTTCTAAGATAATTTAAAAGCCAGCCGCACCTGTAGGCCTGTTTGGGGAGCATGTGATGGTTAGTTCTGTCAGCAGCCTAAAACCACCTGGGAGGAGGTATGTGAGGAATTGTGTACGGCAGGCTGGCCTATAGGTCTGTCTGTCTGTGGGAGGCTGTCTTTTTTTTTGTCCCCCCCCCCCCCCGAGTTTCTCTGTGTAGCTCTGGCTGTCCTGGAGCTCTCTCTGTATACCAGCCCTGCCTCTGCCTCCGCCTCCTGTGTACTGGGATTGAAGGCATGTGCCACCACCATCTGAATGGTGGGAAGCTGTCTTAACCAGTGAAATCGATGGCAAATCCCTGGCTTATGTCCTGGGCTGTGTAAGAGCAGAGGCTGGCTTAGCACAGGCATGACCAGCCATTTCAAGTTCCTACCTTGGCTCCCCTGCTATGATGGACTGGGACCTGGCCTGTGAGCTAAGATTAACCCTTTCTCCCCTGACATGCTTACTGTCAGGATATTTCATCCCAGCAATGGAAATGAAACAGGCCAGGGGCAAGCGGTTTAAGGAACTGTCAGCAGGGTCACTGATGTGCTTGTTTTGTCAGTAACATAAAGCAAAGCTTCATTGATGATGCCCCTGGTACAGCCTTCATCACAATGAACACCCTTGGTACTCAAAGGCTCTGAGAATCCTGTAGGGTCCATCAGCTCACTCATCCTAGGGCTCCCTGCTTCCCTGAGTCCTCACGTCTTCCCTCACAGCACCCTCTGCACCTCTCTGGTCTGCATCATGTCCAGGCGGAGGCATGGTGCTGATGCTTCACCCGTTACCTGGCTGATCTCACGTAGGGGGCAGTGATGTGCCTGGCAGCAGCTTAAATGCCATCAGCAGCTCCTTAGTGCCGGCCAAGTAAGAGCAAACACTTCTTTTTCTCACCCAGGCACTCTGTTTCCTACCCTGAGATGTGTGCGTGTGTGTGTGAGTGTGTGAAATGTGTCAGTGTGCCGTGTGTGTGTATGGATGTATAGTGTGTGTGAGTATGTGATGTGAGTGTGTAATGTGTGAGTGTGTAAGAGTGTGTAGTGTGTGTGTGTGAATGTATGTGTGTAGTGTAAGAGTATACAGTGTGTGAAGAGTCTGTAGTGTGTGTAAAAGTGTGTAGTGTGAGTGTGTAACATGGATTGTGGTGTGTGAGTGTGCAATGTGTGTAGTGTGTGTAATGTGTGAGTGTGTAGTGTGTGAATGAGTATGTAGTGTGTGTGAATGAGTGTGTATGTGTGTGCGTGTGTAGTGTGCAGTGGCCAAAATTAGATGTCAGATGTCTTCCTTATTGATTTTTTCATCTTATTTATTAATTTAAATTTCTTTTACTGGAACTGGAGATATGGCTCAATGGTTAAGATCACTGGGTGCTCTTGCAAAGGACCTGGGATTCAGTTCCAAGCACCCACATGGTGGCTCACAACCATCTTAACTTCAGTTCCAGAGGACCCGATGCCCTCTTCTGGACTCCACAGGCACCAGGCACTACTCACATGGTCCACAGACTCACATGTATGCAAAACACTCATACATAAAACAAATAAATGGTTTTTTTCTATAATTTTATCCTATGTATGAGAGAGAATTATGATCCTTGGGAGAGGGCAGTGGCCCAGTCAGCTTGAGAAGGTAGACTTCCATGGGCAGCGTACCTTCAAATGTGTAGAGCGCCTTGCAGGTCCCGATGGCAGGGAGCGGTTCCTCATCATCAAATTCATCATCGAAATCCGTGGCCAGTACCTTGTGCTCGCTCTCCTGGCTGTGCTCCTCTGTGTAACTACCATCTGGGCTGCTCAAGAGAGGAAGACACAGAGCAACTATAGCGACCAACCTGGAGACTTGGGTCTGCCCCCCACCATGGAGCAGTGTTCCACCAGGTTGTAGGAACTGGGCTCCACCAGCCCAGACTGGATGGTAAACTGAGGTAGTCTCTCTCGTGTCAGATGAACCAGAGGCAGTGGAAATAGATACTCTTGCCTTTTGTCGGTGAGGGATTCTAGAATTTAAGCTAGTACAAATCCAGACCATGCCAGCAGCAGGGTCTCACAGGTACTGTACCTCTCCCGGTCCTGGGCGCAATTAGTGACTGTCTGGTGTGTCTGGCCATCGTACAGTCCACTCTGCCGGCGTGCTTGCTCACTCCGAGCTGGGAGTCTGCCTTCCACCTCAGCCAGCCAGGCCTAGAAACAAAAGCCACAGAAGACTTGGACCTGGGCTAGCCTAGGCTAGATCATGAGCTGTCAGGTCTCAACTCAGAGCTGGAGAGTCGCAAGCCGATGCTGATGTCTCAGACCCTGAACTAGCTGGCTCACACTGGCTCACAGGCGAAGGTTTCCCCTGAGAGCAGGGGAGGGGTAGGAAGGTCACCATTGACCAAATTTACCAATCACCTCACATGGCAGAAAGCAGGCACCACTGGGCCAAACCCTTGGGCAGCCATGTAATCACGGATAAATTATTCTAAGGTCACCCTGGGAAACCCCACACCCTAAGACATGTCAGTCGAGTGGTTTTCCTCTCTTGGGACACAGCTCAGTGCTCCCATAACACCTACCACTGAAAGGTGGGGGGTGGGGATAGGGGTGGGGTTCTCCTGGGGGCTGCCCAGAGACACCTTCCCACTTCTTCCTGTTCTCCACACCTCAAACTTCTGAGCCTCCAGCCGCAGTTTTTCTATGTTCTGGGTGACTTCAGTGAGTTTGTGGTCCAAGCTGGCCGGGTCTCCCATCTGAGGGTTCTTTAGGTACACATCTTTCATTTTGGTGATGGCATCTCTGAGAAAGGGATAACAAGAACACAGAGACTGAGGCTGGAGCCAATCGGGGGCTTTTCTGTGACTGCATGAAAAGCCTACTGTCCTTTCCAGAAAAGCCCATCCCCGACATCATAGGCTCTGCACCACCTCTTACTACACTTCTTTGTAAAATGAAAAGGGGCTGTTAAAAGCCATCACCCTGCTTGCTTAGTGACACACACTGGTGATCTTCAGGCAGTCAGGGCAGGAGGCTAGCCTGGGCTACACAGTGAGACCATCCCTTCATTTCAGATGAATACACAGGGGCCACCAGAGGCAGTCCTGTGCCGAAAAACCAAAAAAAAAAAAAAATTGTATGATCTTATTTTATTTTATTTTTTGAGACAGGGTTTCTCTGTGTAGCCCTGGCTGTCCTGGAACTCACTCTGTAGACCAGGCTGGCCTCAAACTCAGTGATACGCCTGCGTCTGCCTCCCAAGAGCTGGGAATAGCACCAGCATAATTTTCAGTATGATTAAGATGCTGCCTTCAGAGCTGGAGAGATGGCTCAGAGGTTAGGAGCACATGCTGCTCTCTCAGAGGATCTGAGTTCAATTCCCAGCACCAGGGGAATCGAACATCTCTGATCTCTGCAGGCAACTGTATTTACATGCCATCCGCAAGCGTGCGCGCACACATACACAGACAGTCTTAAAATTAATAAAACGAATCTTTTTTAGAAAGCATGCCACTTTTACTATTCTCTTCTCTTTTATTCCTTTTTTTAAAATAATTTTTATTATTTTTATTTATGTGTGGTGAGTGTCTGTGCACATGAATACAAGCGCTCACTGAGATCAGAGGTGTTGGACCCTCTTGGACTGGAGTCACTGAGTCAGCTAGTTTCAGTGCTGGGAACAGAACTCAGACCCTTCATCAGAGGAACACATACTCTTAACCACAGATTCCCCCCACCCCCCACCTTTCCTTATTTTGGGGAGAGACAAGGTCTGACTCTGTAACCCAGGCTGGTCTCACTGCCCCATGGCTCCTCTCCTCCATCTGCGATGACCTTAACCTGCTGTCCCTTCCCTAGTTTCATGAGAAGGTGTCTCAGTTATCTCACTTTGGCTTTCTGCTTTTTGAACTTAAATTTGTGTGCCTGCTTTTTTGCATATGCAGCACCTATGTGCAGTACTCTCACACACCAGAAGAGGGTGCTAGATCCCAGGGAACAGCAGTTACAGACAGGTGTGAGCCACCAGGGGTGCTGGGAACTGAACCCTGGTCCTCTGCAAGAGCAGCTCATGCTCTCAACAGATGAGCCTTCTTTGTTTCTATTGTTTTGAGATTGGGTCTCATGATCCAGCTCAGGTTGGCCTTGAAGTTGTGATCCTCTGCTTCAGCCTTCTAAGTGATGGGATAGCATATGTGCCATCACATCTGGCCTTTTAAACGTTCTTTATAGTGTGTATCAAGAGCTATGAGTCTCTTTCTGCAACTACAGCTTTGACTTTTTCTTTTTTCAAAAGATGCAGTCTCAATCAACTGCCACAGTTTCAGGACACTGCGTTTATACATAAGATTGACATGTTCTATGTGATTCAGTAGAGCAACGGCCTAGCAGGTAACAAGGAAGCTCAGCACAGCATACAAACAAAACCAAACCCCCAAGTCCCAAAAACATGGTAATTCTTTTCCCCTTTTTACAACAACAACAATAAAACAAACACATAAAAAAAAAAAAATTTGCCATGCGGTGGTGGCGCACACCTTTAATCCCAGCACTTGGGAGGCAGAGGCAGGTGGATTTCTGAGTTTGAGGCCAGCCTGGTCTACAGAGTGAGTTCCAGGACAGCCAGGGCTATACAGAGAAATCTTGACTCGAAAAACCAAAAAAAAAAAAAAAAAACAAACCAACCAACCAAACAAGCAAAACCCACTTTAACCCCTGAGAAGAAAAACTCCTAAGACTCTGTGTACCCAAGGCAGAGCAGAACGCAGGCTGCTGGTTGGCTAGTGACCAGAGCAGACCAGCTGCAGTTGGTTTTCCAGACCACTAAACCATGCAGACAAGGGACAAGACATTCCGGCTCACATCTGTAACCCCAGACCTCGGGAGGCTGCAGCAGGAAGATTGCTACTCTGAGCTGAGGCCTTGGGAGGCTGCAGCAGGAGGATTGCCACTCTGAGTTGAGGCCTCGGGAGGCTGCAGCAGGAGGATTGCCACTCTGAGTTGAGGCCTTGGGAGGCTGCAGCAGGAGGATTGCCACTCTGAGTTGAGGCCAGCATGAGTAACACAATGACTTCCAGGGTGAGAGTCTTCAAAAAAGTGAACAAACAACTCCCCAAACAACAAAGGTGTGTTGGGGTGCTTGTGCCTGTTGTCTCAGATGTTGGGGGGAAGAGGGGCACAGATAGGCAGGAATCTGAGTTTGAGGTAAATCTGGTCTGCAAATAAACAAACAGACAGACAAACAAGAAGAAGGAGGAAGAAGAAGAAGAAAAAGAAGATGATGGAAGGGGAAGAGAAGGGTGGAGAGGAAGGAGACACGAGAATCTGCAGGAACACTAATATTTAATTATCCTCAACTAAAAAGACAAACAGATTTTAGACTCAAAGGCAGGACATGGGGGAGAAAGGAGAGAATCTTTTCCATCTTTTGTACAAAAACAAAAAGCAAAACCCCCTTCGGCCCCTGAGAGAAAACCTCTAAGACTGCTCGTATCAAGGCGATGTGGTGGATGCCAACAAGAACTTCACGAGGGCCCTGACATGGGAGACCCTCACCCTTGAGGTGGAGCCCATCACTGAGAGTGTCAGGATCGAGACCCAAGACACAGAAGACATCTTGCCTACCAGCAGCAGCAAATACTGGAAGGCAAGCGGCGGGAAATGGCTGCCTACTGTATGACTACAACTTCAAGAAAGCGCCTACCCTGCACGCGGAGCTGCGCCTGTGTCATGGTGTGGTCCAACTGTCCCTTTGCCAGCATACAAGAAACACAACAGAGACAGCATGATGCTCTGCTTGGAGAGCCATGGATGCCTGCCCCTGTGCCTTGACAGCTGCGTCAAGTACAGCCATGCCAACCTCTGTACCTTGAGGTTGAACCCAGCACTAGGCTATAAACAAACAAAAACACCTGCCAAAACTATGCCTTTCTATCTGTTTTAGAAGCTGAAGAAATGGCTCACCAGGTAAAAGCATGTACTGCTTCATCATAAGAACTGAAGTTTGGTTCTAGACCTGCCTGTAACTCCAGCTCCAAGAGTTCTGATACCCCCTCCTGGCCTTTGTGGGCACTGCATGCATGCATGTATATGCACACAGACACACACACACACGCACACACACACTCGTGCACACACATCCATTTTCAGATTTCCTCTTTCCAGACTGAGCTTGGGTTCTCTGACAGGGCATACCAATCCATCCTACCTCTGGTCCGTCTCCTTTTGAATCTCTTTATTGAGGTCATCAACTTTCTGTTGTAGTTTTTTCCTTCTCTGCTCAGGTGGGAAGTTGCTGAAGTCTTCTGGTGTGACACCCTGCAGACACAAAGATAAATGAGACACCAGAAAGCCTTGCAGTGCTCCTGGATAGAGGGGGCAGACCAAGCCTGCAGACCTGCAGAGCCAACTATGCTTCCCTGCTACACCAGCTGAGATGCAAAACCCAAACAAATGCAGACTCCGGAAGTCCCCCAAATCACCGAGTGAGCCAGAGCACCGCAGGGAAGGCCAGGGGCCACCACACCGCAGGAGGAGATTTGGAATAGGTCTGACCCTGTAGACATTTTTAAAATGTACGCATAGTGTGTTTGCATTCTCTGACTATTCCCAACCAGGTCAGAAGTTCAGGAAATGACATTTCTGTAATGTAATCCAGTCCCTGTCAGTATCGTGTCTAAGTCTCTTCCCTTAGCTGAAGCATTCCTAACCATCTCTCCTCTCAATGCTGAGGCATTCCAAGCTTCCGCCTCTGTGAAATGACAGACAGGCTATCACTTTCCTTTGTGGATGCCAGCAAAAAGTACAATTAAAAAAATCTGGTATGACTTGTCCCTCACTGCCTCCGGGACCACAGAATTACTTCCCACAGTGCACAAAACTAACCTTCCCTGCTGCTACTGTCAGAGCGTGTGTAACACACCCTGACCCCTATGTGTACTAGGTAAGCATTTTACTTCTGGGCTACAGTCTCAAACTCACAGCGATTCCCCTGCCTTAGTTTTCCAGGTACTGGAGTTATAGGTGTGAACTGCCATATCTCGTTCCTGACCCACCCCATCCCCAAATTTAAAAGATTTTATTTTAAGATTGTGTGCGTGTGTGTGTGTACACTCTCACACCCGTGTATTCAGTGTTTATAGAGTCTGGAAGAGGAAATTAGATTCCCTAGAACAAGTTACAGGTGGCCATGAGCTAGATGTTGTAATTGGGTCCTGTGCATTCTCCTAATTACTGAGCCATCTCCTCAGCTGAGTACTTGCTGTGGAGGCCAGGTTGGCCATCAGGTTGAAGCAGTCCTTCAGACTCAGGCTCCCAATGCCAGGGTTGCAGGCATGAGTCACTACACCTGGCTGGGACTCTCTTTTAAGCTCTTACTGCACTCTGGCCTCTTATTTGTGCTTTCAGTAGCCGATCCCAGGAGCTGGTCTTCCTCCAAGGACTACCTCCTTGGCTTCACAGCAGTGCAAGAGCTTTTCCTTAAGTGAGGCCATTTTTATAAAGAATGAAATGTATTCAACAAACCCAGAGGCAGCCAGGAGATTTACAAGAAGAGATTTTACTTGAAAACCTCAATACTTTTCAAACGAGAACAGGACTCACTTGGGGGCGAGAAGAAAGGGAGCCCAGAGGTTCCCGGAATCCAGCTGGATTTGCCAAGCAGCTTATTTGGGGGCTTGTGACAGGCTTCTGGGCTGATTAGGAGAAGCTTCGAGCTGGGAAGCACATGAATCAGCAAATAGCTTGCCTCTTAGGTCAGGTGGAGATCTGCTCTCCATCCTGAGACACCCTGGGTGTGTGTGATGGGTATGCGATCTGGAGAAGAGGATTACTGTCACTAAGCCAAGCATGGTCCTGCAGGCCAGTAGGAGCAGTGGGCTCCCTCAGTTTGATGGCAGCTGAAGTGGCTTCCCTCTCTCTCCCACGCACACTATTGAAACATCACTGTTTGGCTTTCTTTCATTCTATTTAAGCTTGGAGGAAAATCAGTCTTTACGATTTTTATCCATTCTACAATCTGTGGCACTCAGCTCTGTCTTTCAACCACGTGGTTCTCCGAAACAACATGGTCAGGGCTTAGTCGTAAGCACTCCCACCTCCGTGAGCCATCTTGGCCACCCTGATACTTGTTTCCTAGATTGTGTGTGTGTGTGTGTGTGTGTGTGTGTGTAGGTCAGAGGACAACTTCCTTATCTTCTACTTTGTTTGAGACAGGGTCTCTTGGTTGTTTTCCATTGCATACTCTCTGCCTACTGCTGGGCTTTTATACAGATTCTTGAAATCTAAGTTTGCAGGCTCGGGCTTACATCTGGACTCATCTTCCCAGCCCTGAGGTTTTGTTTGTTCTGTTTTGTTTTGAAATCAATGCAAGTCACAGAGCTGTGTTAGTGCATCGATCTGGACAGTGGCCAGAGAGACCTCTAGAACTTTCTGTGATGGTGGGAACATTCTGTGGCTGCACTGTCTGGTACAGCAACTGCAGGTGACTGCCAGACTTGAACGTGGCTGGTTCAGCAGTGATCTGGATCTTCTGAGTGTATTTAGAACATGTGTGTGTGAGGCATGGATGACATCTGAATGCCTATGGAGGCGCCTGTAAGGAATCCTCTGGGCCAGTGGTTTGTGACTGGTCACAGGAGAGGTAGCATGTGTTACTTATGACAACAAAATCATCATCTTCAATTGATAAATGGTTCACCGAACTGACCAGCCAGGTCCCTCTCAATAGCTATCCTGGCTATTTCAATAGTGTCATTACTTGAAAACAAGTCACTGGGAAAGCCTCAGACCTTGGTTGTTATGGATTCAGGTCAGCAGCTTCTCATATTAACGTCGGATCTATAGAAAGGGCGTCTCACGAAATTAGGCTTTTGAAGTTTACATTTCCTCAATCAAAGCTCTAACAGGTGACTCATTCTGTGGAGAAGGGCTCTTGTTTCTAGCTCTGAGTCACGGGGATGTCTCTGACACAGCTAGAGTGACCCAGTTTGTAAAAGGGTGGAACCTGCCCTGGAGGGTGTGGTCAGACACACCCAGGTTAGAGGGATCTGTGTTCGGCCTTGACCTATCTTCTGATGGAACCTACACCTCCTGAGCACAAGCCCTGGGTAAAACAAGTCCTTCAGATGTTTGTTTTTACAGCTGATGCATTTCCTACCTGATATTGCATGTCTGTGTGCATGTTTGTGGTACATGCAGAAGCGTGTATACTAAAGGGGTAGTTCCAGCAGGATGTCAGATGTCTTTCCCTCTCCGTATCTTACAGCCTTGAACCTGGCTTTTCGGTGAGGCTGGGTGTCCAGTGGCTTCCTCTGACACTCACCTATCTCCACTCCTCAGTGCAGGGGTTGAAGAAATAGGCAGCCATACTTGCCTTGATGGTACTGGGATCTAAACACCTCCTCGGGCTTGTAAGAGCAATCGGCCCTACCCACTGAGCCATCTCTAAATGCCATGGAAGCAACAGCTCACTCCCAAGCTGGTGAAAGGATTTGTATTCCAAAAGGAAAGACTGCTCACAGTCATCTGGCATCTGAACCTCTTCTCTCCCCGAGAGAGACCTCTCTTGACTGCAAACTTATCCCGGGGTTTCATTTTTGAGGAATGTTATTTAATAAAATATTTTTTTGCTTTGAGATTGACTGGACTGTGGTTAAATATAGATCAGTTGGGAATGATGTGTCTGCGTCTGCATGTGCGTGACTGTAAGAAAGTCACGATCACGTCACGCCAGGCAATCAAGAGCAGGACCCCAGCAAGAGTAATACCCCTCACATGTCACGCCAGGCCATCAAGAGCAGGAGGACCCCAGCAAGAGTAATACCCCCAGTGTTACTCTGTGGTTAGCTAACATGGTCCATCACTGAGAGGCTGTAGGAATCTGTTCAGGAGGATTCCATGACGTCCATCTTTTTTTTGGTATTGGGGATGGAACCCAGGGACTTTGCCTATGTTAGACAGACCCATGTCCCAATCCTCATTCATTCTCAAAGCATCGTGGGTTATGTTGGTTAAGATTTTCTTTTAATAAATCAGGCTGTTTGCTGGAGCTACACCATGAAGGAGAAGCAAGACAGACAGACGCTAGGTAGAGAGCTCAAGGATGGATGAGGCGGAGTTCCCTTTGTCCATTAAAGCATCTGTGGCCCCTGGAATCAGATTTACCCAAAGTTCCCGCAGAAAACAGTAGCTTTTCACCAGTCTTTCCTACTGAAAACCTAGTGTGTCATGACAGGTATGACACATACCTGAGTGTCTCCTTCAGGGTCTCTCTAAATAGCTCTGGCTGGCCTGGAACTCACTCTGTAGACCAGGCTGGCCTTGAACTCACAGAGATCTGCCTGCCTCTGCCTCCCAAGTGTCTCCTTTAGGTTCCCAGTTTTGTGTATATGTGTGTGTATGTGTGTGTTTTAAATATCTACTTCTGTGGCTTCCAGGAAGAGCTACCTTCCAACTGTACATTTATTTTGACCCAGAATGATCAGTAGGAAGACCACCGTCCCCTCAATTTCTGACATTTACACTCAGATGGATACAGATAGTTGATCAATGCTTAGCAACTCTAAGGTCCCCACAGTTAAAAAGAAATCAAATCATGTTAAGCATTAATTTTCTTAGTGAATTAAGTCAGTCATGCAACCAGAGGTCAAATACACACCAACAAAAGCGCCCACAGGAGAATGAAGGGGAACAATTAATGTCGGAGGCAGGTTGCCCATGGCTTAGCACACACAGCACACACCAGAACCCAATTAGACCAGGGACATGCATGGGGGACATTGTGCTTACCAGCTTCAGAGAAAGCTTCATGGAAAATTGAAGAGGTAACAAACGGGAAGAGAGAAAGAGAAAGAGAGAGAGAAAAAACACGTCAGAAGAGGAGGCATTTGGCCAGTCTCACTGGACACAAAACACCAGCTCCCTGGATGACTTGTGAAATGGCCGGGCAGATCTGTGCAAAAGTTCACAGGAGGGGCTGGTTTTGAGAGAAACTCTTCTTAGCATCTTGGGTACCAGAGTTGAGACAAGATGTGAGGAAGGTCTGACATGGCCCTGCAGAGTCATCTCCCACTGGACGCCTATGAAAATCAGCTTGCTGGGAAGGGTGACTTGGGGAGGTGCTGGAAACAGACCCCAGGGTCTTAAACCTCTCCCAGGACACCTTATTCAGTCTTTTTAAAATATGACTTCTGAGACAGGGTTACCCAATGTACATCCCTGGCTGGGATGGCGTTAGGTTTTCAAGGAGACTTCCTTCCCTTCTGTTCTCTGAATGCTGGGGTCATAGGCAGCCCCCCACCCACACACACACCCGGAGT